AACTCGAAGTTTACCTTTATAAGTCGAAGTTCGCATGAATGTGCCTCAATAATTCGAAGTTTTGCCATAACAGTGCAAGTCAGTTGTGATTCCTGTCGAGACGTGAAAATCAAACTTCCTGTGTTTGCTTCCCGTGTCTGTTTGGCTAGGCACTGTAGTCAGTGTAGTTTACCCGTTTTGCCAAAGTAGATTCAGTACTTAACTACATTACGATGCATTTTGTTTATTATTTTAATCACACTAGAATTTTCCCTTTAAATATTACTCTCTACAGTCTACATACTTTTTGTATGTACAGTATTGTACCTATTCAGTATTTTTGTTGTTACAGTACCTAGCTTGTTTTTACAGTACATATAAAGAGGTTGACTAACGTTTGCTTTAATCAAACATTATACACAGTAAATGTAGTTCCGTGTATGGATGATATATACTGTATTATTGTTTTGTACAGTATTTAAACTATTTTTTTTGTCATTTAACATGTTTTTTATGTACTTTATCAAACTTATTGCCAAATAATAAATACAGTACTTTATGTGCATTCAAATTGTTTTATTTTGCTTCCAAAGTTACTCTTCAGTAAGTTACGTATAAATACAGTTTGAGTTCGATTATTAAGGTTTAACATGTATAAGTCGAGTTATAAAGGCCATGACGTAACATCACTGTCAGACCCCAACACCTCAGTATCTCGAACTTTTTCATATGGAACCTTCATAACTCGAACCTCACTAACTTGAAAAACTTGATAACTCGAATTTTTATCATAACCCCTTCAGATTCGAGATATTGAGGTCCTACTGTATCACCAAACTTGACATATAATTCACACTATTCCGATAAACCTCGAAAACAAATTTGAATAGGATTGAAGCTACAACCTACCGTCCTACCGGCTTAAAAATTGCTTTGCACACAGTTATTAGTGTGTGTATGTGTGTAAAGTGATAATAAATTAGAGTGAAGTAAATAAACACGCTTCATCTCCTCTGATCACTAAAAGTATTAACTTAAAATATTAACTGTCTACTTTCCTTTTCCCAGACATTATTTTTTGGGAAATAAACCATACAAATACAATAGGCTTTTATAAATATTTTGGAAAAAAGAAAGTCAATAAGTTAATGAATTACGCACTTAAAAAATAAAACTCCTTATTCACACACTATCAAAAATTATTTATTAAACAAACTTCCTCTTTTATAAATATAAATATAGCTAATAATGCTAAAAAAAATTTACAATTAATAGTGCTGCACCCTGTTGGTACATTTTGTAACCTTTTAATTCTATTGATCATCACAGAATCAAATTGTTTAGTTGAAATAGCTGTTAAGATTCTTTAATTCCATTTAAATATGAGTACTCATAAGGTTAACATGGGAAACTCCAGAGCCACTGGGGCGGAGCACGAGAGTCCGATCAGAATAAAAACAGCTTAGTTTTCCTATTTAATGCCTAAAGAATCAGTGTACCAAATTTCAGCCTCCTAGGTAAATGGGAAGTAAGAGAATTAGTGATGAGTGAGTGAGTCAGTCAGTGAGGGCTTTGCCTTTATATAATTATATAATTTATATAATTATCGACCAAGTGCTGAGCAAACGATGATTTTTGTTTTGTATTACGAGGATCTGGTCTGGTCTGGTCTTCAAAAAACCATGATATGAACGATATTAGTAAAGGCCTTGAAATCCTACATGTTTGCAAAAAGGGAAGCAGACTTAACACTCTCGAAGAATTCAAAATTTATAAGGCACAGGTTAATGAGAAAAACAATTTTGAGAGCGTAATAATTCTGAACGAAAAACTTAAATTCAAATCCCATCACATTTTCAATAACATATTAAAACAAAGGCAGAGTTTGACGCCCATTGGTTAGCAGTCCACATCAGCTGATAAGACAAGACCGACACAACTAGTTCAGTCCGCATCCTGACCTTGACAACGGTGTGCGTGCGTCCTGCCCGTGTATTTAATAGGCCTATTTTAAGTATTATTCGTTTTCGTAATGTTTTCATCCCGTCCGTGTGTATGTGTTTGTGTATGTACTTTTAGTAGAAAACAATGACAAGGATTTCACCATCCAACTGCGACGTTTTGACAATGGCCGATACAAGCCGAAACATGTAAACAACCTTAATTTAAAATGAGCTGTTTGTCGGATTTATAAGGTATGTAACCTATTTATTATATTATAAATATAAATATACGAACTTCCTCTTTTATAAAAATAGATTTAAACCAAATTTGGAAATTTTGTTTATTTAATACTAAGCTATCAACATTGCAATAAAAAACACATCTCAATATCTTCCCTGTAGCAGCAAACCTAAGTACTCATTAAAATTAATGTTATTTAAATAGGAAATAAATCTGACAATTTTAAGGGAATATTTTAGTAGAAATCCAGCCAGGAAAATTGAAATTCGCTTACTCTGTAGGTTTTCTGCGGCAGGAGTATTTTACTCTAAAAACATAAAATTTTACAATTTCTCTCCAGAACATTTTGTAGAGCTTAAAAAGAGAAATAACTTGGTATATTGAAGTATTGTTATATGCCTAACGGTTATTGAGATAATTAAAACGTAACAATTAGGCGCATAATAACGCTTCAATATACTAAATTATTTGTTTTTTTAAGCTATACAAAATGGTTTGAAAAGAAATTGTGAAATTTTGTGTTTTTAGGGCCAAAAATGGGAAAAACCTATTTTTACCCCATAAAACCCCCCATAAACCCCAGTTCCCATAGTCCGATCATGCTGGTTTGCGAACTCATTCAAGTTTATCCCGCCTTACACCTTTAAACCAAGTTTTATCAAAATCGGACAAAAATTACTCAAGTTATCGTGCGGATGGACACACACACACACATATATATATATATATATACTGTATATATAATTATCTCTATTAGGGATGGACGAGATTGGATTTTTAGTTCGAGACGAGACGAGACGAGATTTTTTATTTCTCATAAAATTTCGAGACGAGATCGAGACGGGATTTCCCTTCTCATACACAACGGGAAATGCACGTTCAAAATTTTTACCTGATTTTGTAACATTGTTAGATGATTGTTTAAATACAAAAATAATGATAATAGGCAAGAATATTTACAATCTTTCATTAAAAAACATCAGCATAACATTTTTTATTAATCACGCCTAACTTATTAAAAATGCCTACGATTAGGAAACAGTGATATCAGTTAGGATAGAGTTCAACTTATCCTAAAATAAAATAAATCATAAAATAAAAGCAATATTAATTTTTATAAAATAGTTACTTGTTTTGACTTTTTATAGTAATAAAACATTCCTCACACTGCTTACACTTAACAAAACTTCTCAAATGTTATTAAAGTAATATTATTAAAATAATTAAAGTAATATTTACATTTAAAGAATTAATTAAATAAGAACGCCTTCGCAAAGGAAACGCAACTACAACACGCTCCTGTATTGCGGGTATTGCATTGACTTTCTGCAGGCGTTTTTAATTTTTTTTTTTTTTTTTTTTTTTTTTTTTTGTCTCGATAAAAATCTTGGCCAAAAAGAAATCTCGTCTCGTGTAACGAGATTTAAAATTTCCCGAAAACTTCCCGAAATTTTGAGACTTGACCATCCCTAATCTCTATATATAGATATATAAAAATTTGAACGAATGGTGTTTTTGGCCTCTGGGGACATCAAAATGAAAAAGTAAATCGGTCCCGGGCTTAGGTCTTACCATGAGACCTACGGTAATAGCTACTTCCCTATAGGGAAATTCGCTAAAAACTTTAAATTTAAAATTCCCATGTTAATCTTATGGAGATTAAATCAACTGTTGTATTTTGCTTGTTTATGGATATATTTTAATCAAATTTGGCAATTTTGTTTATTTCATACTAAGCTATCAACATTTCAATATAACAAAATTCGATACCTTCCCCATAGCAGCAAACCCAGGTACTCAATTAAAATAAAATGTTTTTTTTAATAGGAAATAAATCTGACATTTTTCAGGGAATATTTTAGTAGAATGCAGCCAGGTAAATAGAAATTCGCTAAGTCTGCAGGTTTGCTGCGGCGGGGCTATTATGTTTATGATCCATACCCTTTCTGTTCTAATATCTGTGCAGTATTTAATATGTTTGAACCAGCTGTGTGTAAAATTGAAATCAAAATTAATTTATTTGACAGTCTGCTGTAAACTTTAAATAACTTCTTGATCGGCATTGTACGTGTTATTAAATTTAAGGACAGTAAATGAAAGGTACGTCTTATAACACTTAAAACATATATTTACGCTTATACTGTTACTCACAAGACGGTAAATAGATAAGTAGTAAGTAAAGGTAAATAAGACGGTAGATGGTAAGTGGTGATCGATTTTGATTGGACACTCCAATCGAAATCGATCACCACTTACCATCTTTTTTGTATATTTACCGTCTTGTAAGTAACAGTATAAGCGTAAATATATGTTTTAAGTGTTATAAGACGTATCTTTCATTTACTTTCCATAAATTTAAACTTTGCGAGATCGTACTTTGTTACAATGGAGACCAATCAATATTTACTTTTAAATCTCTCACCTCAGAATTTTGAAAGCCCGCGGGGCCGAGTCCTAGTTCAATATCGAAGGGGGAATAGTTCTATATGTATCCTCGGAGCGGCACCTTTATTTTTTGTCCAATTTTAGCCCAATTGGCTCAGTAGTTGAGTTTTTGAGTTTAGCTCATACAAACACACAGACACACAGACAAAAAGTATAATAGTATATAGATAGATAGATGATTCATTATATCAACTAGGAAACCTGATAGAGCAGATATATTTGAGTTTAAAAATGATTATCATTTATCATACCACAAGTTATCTATCACAGTAAATAATTAAAAAGGTTAGTTACTGCATGTTGAGTTTTGTTTCAATGATCAATGATGGGTGTGTACCTATTCTCCCACTAAGTTAAGAAACACTAGTTTTTGATTGTATAGTTGTATTTACCTGTGGTCAAGTCAGCTTCAGGCTGGCCTAGACAGAACTGCAGCATAAAGATAGCGATGCCTGTGTTTTGGATGCCCGTCTCCACAGCAATGGCTAGGATATCTTGAGGACTCTGGCCTAGGGTCCAGGCTAGCATGGCTCCCAGCAGATAGCCCAAGAGAGGCAGCAACATTCCTCCCAGCATAATCTGGCAGTCAGAGTAAACAGTTAGTGGGTGTTAAATAGTCAGAGTAGTTGCCTCTTCATGTAGGCCTACTGTGGACAATTTCAATCAAACTGTTAACATTGCACAAAAGTCCAGAAAACAGTTTAGTTTTTGTAAGTACAATCAAAAAATTGCCAATTTATCTCTTCAAAAAAAATAAATAAAAATTGTTTTAAACACATTAGTTTGGAAATATTTTTCAGCAAATAATGTAGTGTTTGCTACATTATCTTGCATTAGAAGTGTATTGGTAAAGCATGGGCTCATACTATTGTCGTCACAAAAATAAATTTGCAGTTTCTACAAGCGCAAAAACGCTTTACAAAATTTTGTTATTTTGTTACTGTAAAAACAAACAGTTTTAAGCAAACTATGGGCTATTAATAAACAGCCTTGTCGAATTAAAGTATTATTTAAAACCAACTACAGAAGCTTACTTGCATACAAAAAATCCATATTTTAAAATTATTACTACCAGCTGTTGGCCCGTCCTACGTACGGGGATCAAGTAGTCGATTAAAACCATATAATTCAACAAATAATATAATTCAGATCAGTTAGTTTACACGCATAAAGACACATTCTGGCAGTTTTAGTAAGGAAAATCATCTTCTAAACAAATCTCACGTGACCACCTATTTCTTTCATCCGATTATAGGCCTATACGAAGTGCGTTTTAAATCCGATAATTTTACAATAAAACAGTGATTGTGTTGATTTGAAAAAAAAAACTTGAAATGATATTGCCGGTCGATTCACACACACACACACTGGTAACTGGTTTTAAGTAGCCTACTGTAGCTACACCACCTTCCATAGAATAGTATCACTTAAATAGTACTTTATTTTACCTCAGTGGCCACTGAAACCTTAAGAGGATTTTGGCCTCCCATTCTCTTCTATCCATTGTCTCTTTCTAATGTTGGTTGCACTTTAGTTTACGTCCTACATTTACTATTATACATTAACTACCAGCTGATTATAAAATGAAACTGTTCTAAACTAAACCTAACCTTAACCAAACTGCAGTATGTGAGTTAATTAGAACATAAACTAAAGTGGGTATTTACTCAGGGGAGGTATAGAAGAGGCTACGATGACAGCTGTGGGTTTCTTATTAGCTGAGGGAACGCCATTACCGTAACAAAACGGTCGGTAGCCATCGGCCTCGGTGGTCTAATGGTTAGCGTGCCGGGCTGATATACTGTGGGTCCGCGGAATTGGCTAACTCTGGAACTCGCTAACCCCATGTTAAATGTCCTAACTTCAAATTTGGTCGATGAGAGGAACTCGCTAACTTGTTCGGTTTCGGAACTGGCTAACTCCGGAACCCGCTAACCCGCTCTAGAGCCGGGTTAGCGAATTCCGTCCTCGTACGGAAGTCGCTAACTCGGTCCCTCGGCGGAACTCGCTAACTCCCAATCAGAAGCCTCGCGGGCTGTCCAATGGGAGCCAAGCACGAATATTTTTGGCCAGTGTTGCCGAAAGTGTAGTACCTATTCGTATCGGCACCATAATGTCGTATCCTACGATTAATAACAATAATAATAATAATATATCTTTATTGTCGTTTGGTAATATAAACATTACAATAGACAAGGTCAACATGTTTTGTTACATATGTTATATAAAATATTAAATATTCTACAGAAAATGTTAAAATAAAGTTAAAAGAATCTTAAAAGGATAAAGCATCAGTAATAATAAAAACTTTGAAATTAACAGGGAAAAGACCATAACACGAAAAAGAATCATCAAGACTGCTTGGCCTCACATTTAAGCGTTGAAAAATCTACATTCTGCAAAAACTCCTCAACTGAATAAAAAGCACGACTTGTAAGCCAATCTGATAATTTTGACCTATACAAATGAATACTTTCCTGATTTCTAAAATATATTGGAAGTTTATTAAATAGTTTTATTTGCAAGTATTTATAACTTTTGATAAATTTTGATAGCCTGGCTTGAGGAATATATAAATCTTTTGATTGTCTGGTGATATACCCATGGATTGAGTTGCAAGGAACAAATTTATTCAGATTCTCTTTAACGGAAACTAAATTGTAAAAAATGAAAATATTAGAGAGTGTCATAATTTTATTTTCAGCAAAAAATGCTTTGCAACTAACCCTATCCGGAATTTCAAACATAATTCTGAGAGCCTTCTTTTGCCATGTAAAGACCCGGTGAGCTCCTGAGCTATTACCCCACAGTATATTGCCATACAGCAAGTGTGAGTGAAATAAACTGTGATAAACAATTAGAAGTGTTGGTTTAGAAACACAATTTTTAAGTTTTCTTATCAAACAACATACTCTTGACAATTTTGAAATGATATTATTGGTTTGTATTTCCCAAGTGAGTTTAGAGTCTATGGATATTCCGAGTAATTTGACAGAAACTGCATTGTCTGCTTCAAGATTACGCAAAGTAAAACAAATTTTTTCTGTTTTATCATGATTTATTTCCAGAAAATTACTTTCAAACCATAGATTACCCAATTCAATGGCGTTTTCTATGCTTTGGTTTGCAGAGTAAAAGTTGTCAGCTGATGAGATGAAGGTTGTGTCGTCAGCATATAAAATTGTTTTGCAAGGAATGGAGTTTGGCAAATCATTAATATAGAGAATAAACAAAACCGGACCCAGTACCGACCCTTGAGGAACCCCAGCAAGGACCTCCTTAAAATTTGACCTATCTTTTCCTAAATTAACAAATTGTAGTCTTCCACAGAGGTATGATTCTAAAAAATTTAGTTCGTGCTCCATTATTCCATAAAATTCTAATTTCTGCAAAAGAATTGTATGTAAGACCGAATCGAAGGCCTTACTGAGGTCTAAAAGTGCCACACTAAGATAACCACCAGATTCAAAACTATCCAAAATATCAGACACCACCGATTCTATAGCCAAAGTAGTTGAACGACCCGGTCTGAAACGAAATTGGTTATTGTTTAAAATATTATTTAAGTTAAGAAAATCAAAGATCTGGGCTTTAGCACAGGATTCAACTATTTTTGATACCACTGGAACCATTGAAATTGGTCTATAATTTGAAATAAGAAATTTATCTCCCTTCTTATAAAGAGGGATTGTTTTACTGATTTTTAAGCAATTTGGAAAGGTTGAAGTAGAAAACACCATATTAACAAGATGAATCAGTGGTTCCATAATGTAAGGAGCTATGAATTTTACAATTTTGTTTGAAAAACCGTAAGCATCTTCACTATTTGATGGATTAAGAGATCTTATTATTTTTTTCATATCATTCTCTGTTACCAATTTCCACCAATTTCCAATTAGGAGTAAGAGCAACGTAGTCGATAAAATAAATATATTTAGAAGTATGTTTAACCACAGAGAAGTTCTTATGATTATTAGGGTGGAAAATGCATTATAGTCTTACCATAGACTAACCAACACAAGTAAACTTTACATCCCATTGTAAACTTTGAAGCTCGTTTTTCGTGTCTAGTTCATGTCCGGTGACACTGATCGCTAGTGTCGACAAAATTGTGTTTCTATTATTTTATAGTTAACTTCATGATTTGTTCCTTACTGTTTGGTTATATAACTAGGGGACGTGTTATTAGTTGTGATTAGAACGTTTTATTTGGTTAAACGAGGTTTTAAATTACTGAAAACAAGAAACAATTGTAAACAAAACACGACCTCTAAAGACAGTACACCTGACAGAACTAACAATACAACTGTCTTCAGATCATCCATAAGGATGAGAAATGTACTAATATAAGGGAGTATGTTTTATATGTGGGTTTCTTACTTAAATAGTAGCTTATTGGTATGAAAAAGATAAAAATGCACATTTAATTTGGATCTATTACATGTTATGAAATATCTATTTTCGTAGTCCGCCATTTGTTTCTTTTATTCGAATAAATACCATTTTGTGAACTTCTGCAAATACAATTTTTGAGTTCGTATTTTATATACTGGGCTTGTAGTAACCTTAAATCATAAATCATAATAAAATTTACACGTTAAACGTCATTACAGAATTACATTGTAGTGGTTATGTATTTTTAAATAGAGCTATTGAATTTAAATAAATATTTATCAATACATTATAAAGTGGTAGGCCTAATGTATTCATGGATTGCATTAAAAGTTAGTCTATGCGTAAATACAACTTGTAAATTTCTTTTATCGTAGGCTATTAGTGTAGAACCCGGGTCATCCTCTAAATTTTGTTAAATTAATATTAATTTTCCGTCTTTCAGAAGGCTTACTTTTTAAAAGTCTGGAGTTTTTTTCCAGGCTGATTCTATCTTATCCAAAAACAAAGCTATTGTCTATTGTGTAGCTCAGTACTGGGGAACGGTGAACCGAGCAATGGCTTGGTATAGTTTATATCGATTGTGAAAGCAATATAAAGGAAACCCAACACTCAAATCAGGAAAATCTGTCAATTAGTTTATTAAAAATCGTGAATTAAAATAACCCTGTCACGTTTTATTATATGAATATTATATCTTCTCCTATTTTTTACTAGTGGGGCTTAGGTGTACAATCTAAAAACTGTGTTAAAACATGTAACATTATTGCTAAAAAATTCAACACATTTTAGAATTAGGCAACTATTTACTAGTAGGCCTACAATGCTTTGGTTCAAACTATTAGGCCTAGATAAAAACTTAGTCTATGTCATCATATTTGTACACGTAAGTTGGACGGTTCAACGACGAACATTTAATTTAAAATCTATGAACTAATTATGAAAGTTACGATGGTTGATGACTGTATTAATTAATGGTTTTGGTTTATTACGACATTACAACTAAATCTGTTTTCCGTGTTTAAGAACTTGCGTGTATTTTAGCTTATTTTCGTAGAGGTTTAATTATTTATTACCAATTAAACTAAATTTTGAATATTTTTCATATTCTATTATTTTCTTTTATACTGATGGCATTTATATTTAAGATCGAAATCATAAACATTTAACTGGCTATTGTACAGTTT